GGGGGGAGAGGGGGAGGTGTGTTTGGGCTGGGCGAGGGGCATTGTTATGGAATTAGGAAGCAAATTTTCTTGTCGACTCCGGATATTCCGATAAAATTTGGGGATCCCTTGACGGAAGTTCGAGTCTATTTTGTGCATAGTCTTGAAAGATTTTGGAAGAAGATTTACCAAGTAATTGGAGGTTTCAAGGGTTAAGCAGATTATGTACTTGGAGGGAACTTAGGGGTGGCTCCAATAGGCGATAGGACAAGGGAAAGTAGACTTTAGTGGTCTGCCATGTGCATCATCGACCTAGAATAATATTGGTTAGGAGGGTTGATTTGGTTCAAGTGAAAGGCTCTAAAAGAGTAAAGAGAAGGCCCAAAAGGACATAGATGGAAGTAGTGACAAGAGATATGGTGACTTATGGTCTGTTGTGACTTTGTGACTTATCGAGTCTATTTTGTGCATAGTCTTGAAAGATTTTGGAAGAAGATTTACCAAGTAATTGGAGGTTTCAAGGGTTAAGCAGATTATGTACTTGGAGGGAACTTAGGGGTGGCTCCTATAGGCGATAGACAAGGGAAAGTAGACTTTGGTGGTCTGCCATGTGCATCATCGACCTAGAATAATATTGGTTAGGAAGGTTGATTTGGTTCAAGTGGAAGGCTCTAAAAGAGTAAGAGAAGGCCCAAAAGGACATAGATGGAAGTAGTGACAAGAGTGGGATGGCAAAACAAGATTTGTGTAGCCGACCCCAAATAGTTGAGATTAGCCTCGAACGATTATGACGATGTTTTGTACTTGTGAAGTACTTTTAGACATTGAGACTTTTTAGTATTGGCATTTTGGGTTTTGCCTATATGGTACAACCAGCGTTTTAAAAAACGGCGAGTCGAATCGGACTCGCCCGGTTCGACTCGGAATTCGCGAAAAGGGACCGGATCGGTTGAAAAATCGGAAATCGTCCGGTTCTAGAGAGAACCGGACGATTCTGCACAGTGACTCGCCTATTCACTGTACGGAATC